AAAACCGAGTGCTCGCTAGCAAAAGATAGAACGTGTTTTTGAAAAATGTGATGAATAAAAATGAAAACAAATGGCAACAACGGAGAATTTACCACAACTGCCAAACCTTTCACTTAAATTGTGTTTATACTTCAATCGAGAATGAAAAATGAATGGGCGTACGAGATACACATTTAACTGACAAGCGTGCACTGACACGAGGACAGGTTTTCCGAGGTAAAACATTTTCCTCATGACATATTATATCAGTAACTTTGAAAATAACATAAGAGTAATGTCTTGATAACATATAGGTTTATATTACTTACAAGTAATGCTGAATAAAAGTAATATGCCGGCAATTCCAATAAATCAGCCTTGACAATTTGAATTCAGAACTGAATTGCTATGAAGAACTGTAACAAGAGAACAGTGGAATCTCTCTCTTGTTGTCTCACAGTGAGGCTATATGTTATTTATAAACACTTGCATTTACTTTGAAAGATATATGTGGAAAACATTTAGGGCGTCATTTTGTACGTTGGCCATCGTAATGAACATAGCAAGGTAGGAGCTAACATGATACTCTGCAGCATTGGGGAAATGTATGTTCATTAGATTAAAAATACAAAATGTGTCATATAGTAAGTATGCAAGATAAAATATTACGAGCGTTTCATGACCATAACAACGCGGCAGAATTGAGAGAAAATTTTTGTTTATCGCGATTTCGTTTATGGTCCAGCTAGGCAGCCCCGCCCACAGTGAAATCTCATTGGCTGATTGTCACGTCATGCAGCAATGTGGCGTTCAGCGTAGACATATTTTTTGTTGTTGAAAACGTAGATTACAACACCATGATTTTTCATGGTAAATAACAACCCTTTTCTATAAACATAAAAGGAATTTGTATGATCTTATAAAGTCATGTTGTTTTTGTAAATTACACAGGCTTTTAATTTGTCATTAGTGTAAAGCCAAAGGAAATTAATCAAACTAAACAAAAAGTTATGTAATATAGTTTATTTAATTCCGCATTTATTAAATGCTATAAATACTAGCACTATATAGGCTGCTTTACCATTTAAATTATATAGGCTGTATTTCTTGCATGACAATAAATAAGGATTTTTTAATTGAATATTTAAATATATATATTTTGCTTCACAATTTTGGGAAAGGTCATTAATTGTCATAAAAACCATGTCACAATGCATAAACACAGGCAACATAGGCTTAATTTTCTTTAAGTAAAATATAATTGGAATGTTCCTGATAGATATTTCCAAACCGTATAATGTGCTAAATACTGAAATCTGAAAATAATGGTCCAAATTACACTCAGGTGATGCTAAAGTACATACAACAGCTAGCGAAAGCAACAAGTGTGATTCAGTGCACAACGTTCCAAAATATAGTTTGTATCCTGGAGTCTCTTAATCACAATAAGTGGCTTAAATGGTTTTCTTAATCACAATAAGTGGTTTAAATGAACAACATCTCTACTGAGAAGATCTCAAACATTTTGAGATGGGCAGTGAGGAGCATGATAAATTGTTATCCTCTGAAGAGCTCTTCAAGTACAACAAAGCAAAACTCGGCATCTGCTACCGTTCATGTATATATAATCTCAGAATGCTAGAGTTAGCTTCTTGGCATTTGGGGACGGGAGACCTCTGTTGAGAGCAGGAAGTTGTACCACTGAACATCTCTGAGGCCATTTTTATCCATCCCATTTTTTTCAGGGATTTGTTCTCATCACTGTATGTGTTAAGGAAATAAACTTCCTCAGCATAATACAGACACCGTGTGATGCGCAAAATAAATTTATGTGGGTAATTTACACAGAGAGTATCTGCTTTTAAGTAGCACTAACACCCTTGTTTTAAAACTTTGGTTTCTAGCTATCATATTTTTTTTTAGCTGATCTATCCACTGTTGTAGCCAAATTATTGGTGGCTTTTTTGGCAAAGGATGGTGTGAGATGACTCAAAAAGCCAATTACTTGTGCACTTTAATGGGGTTAATGGAAACAAGTTCAAGTTCGCCAAACAAATGGCTTAAATGTTAATAGAAATTTGTGATACTTACAAACCTCAGGTCATAGAATAAGCCACCTGCCAAGAGAGTATGTGTGAGTGCCTTGAAAAATTAAGAACTTCTTCCAGTTCTCAAACTTTACTGAATTACAAATTATGTTTTTGGCCTTTTTGTCACTTTAATTGACAGGGAGGGCATATAAGTGATTGGAAATGATGGGGAAATGGGATTGGCAAATGACACAAACCATACTGGAACTCATATTGCCTGGATTAGCACCACAGAATCAATGTGTCAGAGCCCATGCACTAACCACAAGGTCGTGGCTTCAAGAAAATGTGATTATTATGGCTATATTTCTGGCATTAGTAGATATTATAAGTTAGGTAGTAATAATGATCCAAACTAAACTGTGCAGCATATAAGCTTATGCACAGAGTTTCCGTGGCATTATTTAAAGTTTGCATAATTGATAATCGCACTACTGTTCACTGGGTTCATTCTTTTCACCTGCTTTGTAAACATCAGTGCTGAACAACTAGCACTTCCATCATCTCAAGGTAAGACTTTAGTGCACAATCATTAGTTCCTGAAGTACCTCCACATAAAGACACAAGATTAGATTTAAAGGGGTCATATGATGTTGCTAAAAAGAACATTATTTTGTGTATTTGGTGTAATGAAATGTGTTTATGCGGTTTAAGGTTAAAAAAACACTATTTTCCACATACTGTACATTATTGTTTCTCCTCTATGCCTCGCCTTTCTGAAACGCCGAGGTGTGCTCTTGATTGGCCAGCTATCCAGTGCGTTGTGATTGGCCGAATACCTCAAGCGTGTGACGGAAATGTTACGCCCCTTGCAATATTGTGATACCTTGTCCCGGCCGGAGCGACTAGACAAAAACATTCAAACCCATTATGAATGAGGCATTTGTTGCATCCAGTGGGGACATAATTACGGATTATAATGACTTATACTGTCTTTTTACGCGTTGCATTGCATCCCGCCGCGTAAACATAAAACCATGCCTGCATTTGTGTGAAACTACAAACGCTACTCTACACTGCTCAAAACTCGTGTTTGAATCGTCAGTGGCAAATTCTTTAAATGTAGAAAACTTACTTACAGTCTGAGAGTCAGAACAGTAGTCTACTCTGTCTACACTGTAGTGTACTCTGTCTACACTGTAGTCTACTCTACCAGGATCAGGAAACCGTCCTCCATAAAATGCGCTGGACACATCGGAATATTTGGGTTGAACTGTTCTGGAACAGTGTTGTAAATACAACTTAACCACTGATTTCTAGTCGTGTCCTCTTTTGGAAGGCCAAACAAAGTAGTTTCGCTTTCACAACGAAACACAGCGTCACACACGGCGGGCTAGAGTGAGTGGAGGCCGGAGGCCTAGAGTGAGCAGAGGCCGGGGGATAGAGTGAGCACGGGCGGCGGTCTAAAGTGAGCGAAGGCCAGTGGGCTTGAGAACAGCGCGGCGGGCGGGCTTGCGGCAACCACATGTGACGACCCCGGACTGTACTCCGCTTAGTCCACGGTGAAAGCCGATCCGGCGATCTACAGTGTCAAGTTGATGTATTCCCTCAGCGACCAGCACGGATCAGCTCCAGGCATGACGAAGCGGATATCGTCTTCTTTTGGAAGGCCAAACAAAGTAGTTTCGCTTTCACAACGAAACACAGCGTCACACACGGCGGGCTAGAGTGAGTGGAGGCCGGAGGCCTAGAGTGAGCAGAGGCCGGGGGATAGAGTGAGCACGGGCGGCGGTCTAAAGTGAGCGAAGGCCAGTGGGCTTGAGAACAGCGCGGCGGGCGGGCTTGCGGCAACCACATGTGACGACCCCGGACTGTACTCCGCTTAGTCCACGGTGAAAGCCGATCCGGCAATCTACAGTGTCAAGTTGATGTATTCCCTCAGCGACCAGCACGGATCAGCTCCAGGCATGACGAAGCGGATATCGTCTTCTTTTGGAAGGCCAAACAAAGTAGTTTCGCTTTCACAACGAAACACACAGCGCCTTCACGACATGGCGGCAGCAACAATACTACAGCGAGAATAAAAAATATCCCGCCTTTCTTTGCGTGAACATTTGGGCGCCGTTATGCAAATCTTCCCACATCCTGATGTAGACATGTGGGGGCGTGTTAGAACGAGCCGTTTTAGGTAGGTGTGGCTGACTCTTAACTTTTATAAAGAATATCTCTTTGGATTTGAGACTTTAGTCTTTGCAACTTTACAGATCTTCTTTATACACCAAGAGCTTGTAACACTCCAAAGAGAACGAAAAAATGTAAATTGCGTCATATGACCTCTTTAAAGACACAAGAAGTTTAAATGCACCTCAATTTCTACTATCATGGTTATCGTCTTACTTTTATATCCTATATTGTCCTGCAATGTGCTGTTTATTGTATCACTGTCTTTATCAGTCTTATTCAGAAAAGTGCAATTTCAAATGAAAAAAGTAATATGACTGGACAATTCAACTCAATTACCAAAGTAGACATGATTAGATTTTTTTTTCCCACATTTCTCCCGGAAGTCCTGAAAAATCAAAGAAACAAGAAAAGTCTATACAATGGAACCTTAAATGACATTAACACAGCAATGTCTATGGTACATGACTGTGAAAAATTTATATCTGATGATAATCTCGTGGAATGAAAGAGAATTCATCCTCGCACCTTCTTCATAGTCTCTAATGCTGCTGACACTAATCTAAAATTAAAGATTGAACCATTAATATTCCCCATTAAAACTGAATGAGGGTTAGCAATTGAGATTTAAAAGACCTAAATGTGAATCCAGATTATCAAGATTATGTAAAATCCATGAAGGATTAAAACAAATTAAGGTCACTGTGACAAACCAAGCAAGAGTCATGTACACAATTGTCTGTTCATTTTCATCTATACATGAAAAATGTGGTTTCGCCAGTGATTACATCTTATTTATGCTTCTCTACATTTATTAAGATTTCGAAAATAGCAAACGTCTCTTTCACATACATTGAGCCAAACTATGTTTCATGGACACTAAATACAAATCTATATGCACTGAATCAATGAAAATTAGTGATATGATGATGAGGACAGCCACTAAAGAATGAATAATTTCATGCATTTCATATGAAAATCTCAAAATGCACATTAAACTACCAAATTGTCCACTCTAAAAACTTGATACACTGGACAAAAAACTTATATGATTGTGATGTAACAGCAATAACTGATTGAATTTTACAACTTATTTGTAAATCATAACCACCCAAAGCAAGCAGAATGAAGTGCATGAGTTTACTTTAGATTTGCTTTTTTTTTTTTTACCCGGATACAGCACCAATGTATTATGCATTCTAAAAGCAAACCAGACACAAGCTTAAACCCCAAAAACTCTATGGCAGACAAGACTTTACACTGAGGCTACGTTTACACAACAATGATGTAGTCAAAAACTGAAAAGTTTTTCTGAACTCAGAACTCTTTCAGTCCCCAAAATGCCATTGTTGTGTACACGAACAGGCAAAACGCATAAAAAGTTTCCCGTTTTTGGCTGAAAACATTGTTGTGTAAACGGCCCCTGAGAAACAACCTGAGAAATAGTCTGACTGTGACATTCACAATTTTATTGCACGGCTGTTATTATACATGACAGCATTTCAGTCCCACATTAAAGATTTCTTGAGAATAGTCTGGGTTCTTTGACTGACAAAATATTCACATTCACTGTTGTCAAAACAATGACCAGCATACAGAATTTCTTTGTCAATAGTGTGGTGCTCTGCTCTAATATATAAATAATGAACATTACTATCTCAATGCAATCGCTGGAATCGAGGTGAAGTTGAGATCTCTTTACAGCTAAGTGTTTTGGTTCTTGTGCTGTTCAGAAAATCATAGGGTGACTGTGAGGGAGTCTCCGAAGTAAAAAAAAGTTCATAGTGCAAATGTCAATCACATTAAGGCAAGAATATAAATGTAGAAAAATAGTTGTGCGTGCACATGATTACCTTTGTTACAAAAAAGGTATGAAGGTTTTGTCCTCAATGAGAGAGAGTGACATGTTTTTCAGCTCCTCGGGGGAGTTGACAGCTTTGTAGCCGAGCTCGTCTAAAAATTGCTGACAAACAGTTTGTGTGTAATCAACTATGTCATGAGACAATTTCAACCTCCAGCTCTCTGCATTGGCCGCTGAGTCTCTCAACGTGCCGTACTTATGCTTTGCTGACATGTCGTTATTGCCTCTTGTGTTGTTGTGTATCCAGTCCACCACACTTTTTTCCAAAGAAAGACCAAGGAATTCATAAACCTCCTTGGTTTTTTGGAGTGGATTCCTGGCCAGGTCCTCGTATCTCACCAGCATGTAACGTCCACGAAGCCACGGCGGTCGGCTCAAGCCGGTGGACACCGAGTTCAGAAAGTCGTCGCACACTGTCGTGAGCTGAGTCAAATCCAAGTTGTAAGGTTTACGGCCTGTGGCTCTCCAGATCCGCCATAGGCGGTATGTGTCCCGAAAGGTTTCAATCCTAGAAGATAAAATCCCACGCGGATCCCTCACCAGCTGGATAACTTTCAGATTAAGCCGAGGGTCCTCGATCAGTGCCTTGAGATCATTGACCTCTGGAATACGCACTGTTTTAATGGCTACGTGCCGTCTTTCCCGACATGATTCGGTAGCGAGGGTCAAGTTAAGGGAGGCACACTTTCGAACACAATCCCCCTCTTCTATATTGCCATCGCTGGGGCTGAAAGCATCACAGACCGGCATAGAGCAGAGGGCTTTGCTGGCTCCTCGTCGAAACAGTTTATCCGTGGTATGGTTTGCCGGCTGCGGCTTGATGTAACTCTCTAAGAAATACAAGTCGCAGTTGTACAAGCTTCTAAGAAGGTCACGACTGGCTCCCAGCATCACTCTGCGCTCAACAGCATATCTGCTGGGAGAAAGGTGAGGGATTAAGGTCGTTTGGACATGATAGAGCGGTTCAAAGAGATAGAACACATCTGAGTGCTGGTTGAACAACTGTCCAACGAAAGAGGAGCCGCTGCGGGTGGTCGCCAAGATGATGATGTGAGTCTTCCTGGAGGAATTGTAATTAAAATATGGGTACTCATCACACATCCGATCGAAGGACTCCACATCCTGTCCCAAGCCACAGTTCAAAGGGTTAGGAACAGGGCACATATGAAAAGGCTTAGCTGTGAAAGTCCTGATTGCTGTGTATTGGATCGCTATGGACACCAGTGCAAGCAGAATCACAGCCTTCCAGGAACATTGCATGGCTGGGTAACTTCATTTAGAAGATGCAGTCCGATTTGATCCTATCGACATGAACAGATTTTAAAAATGAATAACATTTGATTACATTTCAAACAGGTCTAAAATAAAGAAATTGATCTATGAACTGTACACAATAAAAAAAAAAGTTATTCATAATGCATCAGTATCAAAAGCAAATAAAAACTTTAACTCCAGGTGTGAAAGACTAATTTAAACTTGAGTTTTTTGCTAAACATGAATTTCTAGCAAAGACAAATGTGCGTTCAAAATATATATATTATTGCATTCTGCACTATATGCTTCACAATGCAAGGCTTAATCAGTCGTTTATTGCAATATGACGCTTTGATAAACTACTTCACGCTTTAATGCAGCCAAACTCCTACAACTAAACTGCTTCCTACAGGCTTTTACACAAGCCTGAGGTATTTTGTTTTTCCCATGGGGAAATCAGCAAAGGTTCAAGCAAACCAGCATCTAGAATGCAGACAGGTTACAAAATCAGTTCTTTTCAGAAACTGGCACCGGTACAGGCACCTGTAGAGAGATGCATTAATTGCAATCTCTCACAATACCATATGCATGCTTATTATGATAGGTTTGAAAGGCAGCCGTCGACGACCGCGCGCGTCGAGTTCTGATTTACCGCAGTGCAACACAACTCGGTATTCAGTTGGAAATAAAAAAAATAGCACATCCGATCTGACTGTCGACTGTATAAAACGGTGACCAACTTCTCCCTTATTCCAGCACAAACATTTCAGACATCCAACAGGCTAGAAAATATCGTGAAATAAATACTTCGATATACTTGCCTCATATAAAGCTGTAAGAGAACATAACGAAAATGTAAACAAAAGAAAAAAATCAGCATATGCCGCGATGGCTTTGCGTAGTCGTCCCGTAACGCCCGTCATAGACGGTTTATCGCTTTAATTCATGTGCTCAGATGTCGAGGGCTTCATAATTCCCTACAAACCGATGAAAATGTCGTATATCCTCAAACAGCTCCATTCATGCTCGGGGTAAAACATTGAAAGACGGGCTCCGTGGAGAGACAACTGATGAATAAGGTATTGATGAGCATCCTCAGACATCTCTCTGTGACTAAACACCGGACGGATATTTCGTTCGTTCGTCGTGAAGAGAAGACTGAAGAGAGGTGTGCCAGTCGGTCCCAGATTAAGTAAAACGTAGACAGCCCTACGAAACCGTATGCGAATATGCAGCCCCTTCCCTCAAACCCTCAGTTGACAAAGACTGAGGAGAAAAAAACAGCACGGGGGGAGGCAGATTTGGTTCACTATACGTGTCCTCCCTCAGAACATGTCTGTGCTCGGTGCTAAAGCCTTTAGACATGGAGTTAGTTTGGATGAGGTGAACAGGCATCTAGAAATCTCAGCGTATTTTCTCAGTCTTCCGTCGCTAAATTTTTGACGAGGGCAGGATATATTTTAAGGAACATTCGAGGACAGACATGGCCAGCTGGTGGATTTCCGTACTGACTGACTGAAAGGCTTAAAAATAATTATGTAATGACACAGTATGTGTAGAAATATTGTGTTTTCTACATTATGGGAGGTGTGTAACTTCCTCACATCACAGTTATACACATAATTATGTTTTTGTTTCATATCGTCATATATTGGTTTTAACTATTAGTGCTATTTTTTATTGAACACGCCTTTTACATAGCTATACATTCATAGGGTAGTACCGCAAAATACATTTCCTCACACGTATGTTATTGCACTGACTTCATTCATTGGAAAACAGAACAGAATGTTCTGACTGTTCTTGTCCATATAATGAAAAAGTCAAGTTGCAAAATGGACCACAAACTTGCTGTAACAGTGGTCCATGGGACTCATTTGCTACATTGTAAGTCTTCTAAAGCCACTAATAGCTTTGTGTGAGAAACAGCCAAGAAGCTTAAAGTTTAAAGTCGTAGCTTTAAAATTAAATTTTGTGTTAATGGTAAATCTGGTGCAATGCATCTTGGCACCTTGACATGCCATATTTGAGTCTACGTGAACACAAATGAGATTTGAGAGCTACAAAGGAGAGAACAAAATTGAAGAGTTCAGATGCAAAAGCCTCTAAGTGCCATCTGAAAATGTCTTCTAAAATTAGCATTTATATCAGGCTTCTATGTTTATGTTCATTTATTTCAACTTTAATGGCATAGAAAAGGACCTATACATTGCCATTAAAGTGAAATTTCTGAACCTAAGCATAAGAGCCTGATAAAAATGCTAATTTTAGAAGAAATTTTCAGATGGCACTTAGAGGCTGGTTGAACAACTGTCCAACGAAAGAGGAGCCGCTACGGGTGGTCGCCAAGATGAGGATGTGAGTCTTCCTGGATGAATTGTAATTAAAATACGGGTACTCATCACACATCCGATCGAAGGACTCCACATCCTGTCCCAAGCCACAGTTCAAAGGGTTAGGAACAGGGCACATATGAAAAGGCTTAGCTGTGAAAGTCCTGATTGCTGTGTATTGGATCGCTATGGACACCAGTGCAAGCAGAATCACAGCCTTCCAGGAACATTGCATGGCTGGGTAACTTCATTTAGAAGATGCAGTCCGATTTGATCCTATCGACATGAACAGATTTTAAAAATGAATAACATTTGATTACATTTCAAACAGGTCTAAAATAAAGAAATTGATCTATGAACTGTACACAATAAAAAAAAAAGTTATTCATAATGCATCAGTATCAAAAGCAAATAAAAACTTTAACTCCAGGTGTGAAAGACTAATTTAAACTTGAGTTTTTTGCTAAACATGAATTTCTAGCAAAGACAAATGTGCGTTCAAAATATATATATTATTGCATTCTGCACTATATGCTTCACAATGCAAGGCTTAATCAGTCGTTTATTGCAATATGACGCTTTGATAAACTACTTCACGCTTTAATGCAGCCAAACTCCTACAACTAAACTGCTTCCTACAGGCTTTTACACAAGCCTGAGGTATTTTGTTTTTCCCATGGGGAAATCAGCAAAGGTTCAAGCAAACCAGCATCTAGAATGCAGACAGGTTACAAAATCAGTTCTTTTCAGAAACTGGCACCGGTACAGGCACCTGTAGAGAGATGCATTAATTGCAATCTCTCACAATACCATATGCATGCTTATTATGATAGGTTTGAAAGGCAGCCGTCGACGACCGCGCGCGTCGAGTTCTGATTTACCGCAGTGCAACACAACTCGGTATTCAGTTGGAAATAAAAAAAATAGCACATCCGATCTGACTGTCGACTGTATAAAACGGTGACCAACTTCTCCCTTATTCCAGCACAAACATTTCAGACATCCAACAGGCTAGAAAATATCGTGAAATAAATACTTCGTTATACTTGCCTCATATAAAGCTGTAAGAGAACATAACGAAAATGTAAACAAAAGAAAAAAATCAGCATATGCCGCGATGGCTTTGCGTAGTCGTCCCGTAACGCCCGTCATCGACGGTTTATCGCTTTAATTCATGTGCTCAGATGTCGAGGGCTTCATAATTCCCTACAAACCGATGAAAATGTCGTATATCCTCAAACAGCTCCATTCATGCTCGGGGTAAAACATTCAAAGACGGGCTCCGTGGAGAGACAACTGATGAATAAGGTATTGATGAGCATCCTCAGACATCTCTCTGTGACTAAACACCGGACGGATATTTCGTTCGTTCGTCGTGAAGAGAAGACTGAAGAGAGGTGTGCCAGTCGGTCCCAGATTAAGTAAAACGTAGACAGCCCTACGAAACCGTATGCGAATATGCAGCCCCTTCCCTCAAACCCTCAGTTGACAAAGACTGAGGAGAAAAAAACAGCACGGGGGGAGGCAGATTTGGTTCACTATACGTGTCCTCCCTCAGAACATGTCTGTGCTCGGTGCTAAAGCCTTTAGACATGGAGTTAGTTTGGATGAGGTGAACAGGCATCTAGAAATCTCAGCGTATTTTCTCAGTCTTCCGTCGCTAAATTTTTGACGAGGGCAGGATATATTTTAAGGAACATTCGAGGACAGACATGGCCAGCTGGTGGATTTCCGTACTGACTGACTGAAAGGCTTAAAAATAATTATGTAATGACACAGTATGTGTAGAAATATTGTGTTTTCTACATTATGGGAGGTGTGTAACTTCCTCACATCACAGTTATACACATAATTATGTTTTTGTTTCATATCGTCATATATTGGTTTTAACTATTAGTGCTATTTTTTATTGAACACGCCTTTTACATAGCTATACATTCATAGGGTAGTACCGCAAAATACATTTCCTCACACGTATGTTATTGCACTGACTTCATTCATTGGAAAACAGAACAGAATGTTCTGACTGTTCTTGTCCATATAATGAAAAAGTCAAGTTGCAAAATGGACCACAAACTTGCTGTAACAGTGGTCCATGGGACTCATTTGCTACATTGTAAGTCTTCTAAAGCCACTAATAGCTTTGTGTGAGAAACAGCCAAGAAGCTTAAAGTTTAAAGTCGTAGCTTTAAAATAAAATTTTGTGTTAATGGTAAATCTGGTGCAATGCATCTTGGCACCTTGACATGCCATATTTGAGTCTACGTGAACACAAATGAGATTTGAGAGCTACAAAGGAGAGAACAAAATTGAAGAGTTCAGATGCAAAAGCCTCTAAGTGCCATCTGAAAATGTCTTCTAAAATTAGCATTTATATCAGGCTTCTATGTTTATGTTCATTTATTTCAACTTTAATGGCATAGAAAAGGACCTATACATTGCCATTAAAGTGAAATTTCTGAACCTAAGCATAAGAGCCTGATAAAAATGCTAATTTTAGAAGAAATTTTCAGATGGCACTTAGAGGCTTTTGCATCTGAATTCTTCAAATAATGACTCTAATCTCAGTCTGTTATTCACACAAAGCTATTATATGATGTTCAGAGGTGGGGTGTTATTTGTCTTGCGGTTTGTTTCAATATGGGCTTCACAAATTAATATAATCTTGATTCAATGTAACATCACTTAAAGTTGTGATATAACAGCAGTAGTGAGATATTTCGCATTTTATTGTGTCACAAGTGAGTTTGAGGCTGTTTTGTGACTCTTTTTGGCTGGCTCGTTTAAAAGAACTGCTGCATAACAGTCATTTGTTTGCGCACAGGATACACTGGGGTATAATGACATAATATCTGACTAATACCTTTGAGAAGCGGCAATATCTCTTGCATGGAAATAAGATGGGACTGCTATCAGCTATTCATGTGTTGTTTTGATACTTCCCAAAAAGACAAAGTACTGCCTCCCAATATCAGCGTAGATGCAGAATTCTCAATTTCTGTCTTTTCTGTCAGACATTTTAGTAGAAACGTGTTTGGTGAAGTCGGGCTACTGTTATACACACGATGGAGATTGCGGCCTCTGTTGTATGGTCGAAAATAACGTTGATTAAAGCAATGGTGGAATTTAACGATTAACACATTTCATTTATGATCATGTGGACAGAAATTTCTATTATTTAGAACTATGCTGGTGCGTCATTCTTTTCTGTATATCGAAATACGGTCACTCCCTGACTTCAAAGGACATGTTTGGAACTGGTGCAGGCTCTCTTTCATTGTATTGAGAATATTCATTTATTTTCATTTAAGGTGAACAATTCCTTTAAGCTTTAAAGGCTTTGTGAAACCCGATAGTGTCATCATAATTGTCACTTTTCTGCATTTTTGTTTTGATTGTAGCCTCAAGACAATGTAGCTAACAAAGTGTGATAGATTAAATTAATCTAAAAACATTGGATATGGAGGAACCAATCTGAAACTTGGCATACTTTTAGAGTTAATTTGGACCACCAAGCTGCACTCTTCCAATCTTCACTGTTTTTTCCTTTTTTGGGGGTTTTTTATTTAATTTTTTTTTTACAAATTACTGCTGTTTTTCCTCTCTATCCATTCAC